ATGGATGGTCTTTTCGATTGCTGGGGAAGGGCTTTGTGTGTTTGTTTAGTTGTCTTTATGTTTTTGTCGTTTATATCGGTGCTTTTGTTAGTTGTTGTGTTTTAGGTTTGGGTCGATTGGCCTCAGTTAGCCCGAGTGTGAACTTATTATCCTTTTGAGACCACACACTCAAGCATTACCCTGTTGGGGCTGTTTTAGTGTTGTATTGTTGTGTGTTGGATTGTTGTGTTGTGTGGTTATTACCCTGTTAGGGTCGTCTCTAGGCGGGTTTCGTCTTGTCCGCTCAAGTTTATTCAGCTGATGGCTGTGTGTTGTCAGCTTGTGGTTGTATTTGCACATTTGTGCCCTTATATAAAATCCCTATCATTCCGAAAAATAAAATATATATATAATGTCAACAAGTAAATAGAACATACTAAATTTTTAACATAACTTTTTAATTGAAAGGTCAACTATTACTTTACATTTTTGATAAAAAAACTAGTGTGTATCCCATGCAATGCACAGGTATATAAATTTGGAGAATATTATAATTTGACATGGATTAGGATATATGAGAGCTTATTACATATGAACATTATCATCATAAAATGTTCATCACAAAAAAATTTTATATTATTAGGCTAAATTGCATATAAAAGCACCACCTTTCATGTTTTTGCAATTTAATCACCACCTTTGCAATTTAGCAATTTAATACACCACTTTAATTATTTTTTGCAATTCGAATCACATGGCCCAATTTTGGGCCTGTTCTGGTGACGTGGAGGCCCGTTCTGCTGATATGGCATTTTTGTGATGACGTGGTGTTTCCACGTGTCAATGACGTGGCATTTTTGGCTGACATGGCGACCCATGGGTCAATTAAAAAAAAAATTATGTTGCACGCTCTGAGATTCGATCCTGGATTGAAGGGGTTGAAGGGTAGCCTTAGCTACCACCACACCAGTCCAACTTAGTTGTTAAATGTGATAACCCTTTATATATATACACATTACATTACGTATGGAGAAATCAAATTAAATCTAAAAAAATAATTTCATTATATTAAATAAAATTATATAAAATTGAATTAAAAATAATATATTAAGATAATTAAAATATATTTTTTTGAATTCATATTTTGTGTTAGAGTGAATCATATTAATAATATTATATTCATTTAATATTTTTATTTATTTATTTAAAATAAATTTATAATAAATATAATAACTTATTATTATATAATAAATTATTATTTCATTTAAGTTTTTTAATATTTTATTATTTTATATAAAATAACACTTTTTGTTTTATTATTCATTAAAATTATTTAACATTTTATTTACTTAAATTATATTTTTAATTTATTATATTTATTTAAGATTTTTATTTATTTTTATTTATTATTTCATAATAAGTTATATTTATTAAAATATAATAAAAATTATATAACATAAGATGATAAAGTATAAAAAAGGTGAATTCAAATAAAATAAAATAAAATAATAAACAAAATAACTGATTATTAAATAATAAATAATGAAAATCTTATTTATTAAATATTATTAATATGGTTTACTCTAACACAAAATATGAATTAATAAAATTCTATATTTTAATTATCTTCATTTATTCTATTTTCATTTAATTTAATTTAATTTATTATAATTTTATATTTAATTAATTTATTATAATTAATTTTATATTTTAATATAATTTATTCATACGTAATTCCTGTATATATAAATTGTTATTGAATATGTTAACTAACATGGATATGTGGAAACGCCACGTCACCACAAAATGCCACGTCACCAGAACAGGCCCGAAATTGGGCCCTGTGATTCGAATTGCAAGAAATAAGTAAAGTTGTGTATTAAATTGCTAAATTACAAAGGTGGTGATTAAATTGCAAAAACATAAAAGGTGGTGCTTTTATATGCAATTTTGCCATATTATTAAAAACCTCTTTTATACATAACATTATGAATTTGATTATTGGATAACTAGTAGTGAGAAGCACGGGCCGATTCCGGCCAGATCCAGACGCGGAGTGCACAAAGGGCTGCAGAAACTGGGCCTCACTCAATTGGGTATGTAGCGATTTTTCCTCATCAGGAGTTCCGTTCTTGTCTGATTTTTCTTTTCACGGAAATGGTGAAATTGGTGTGCCGTTATTCTTTGCTCGTAGTAATCGCTCCATGTGTTTGATGATTCCCCTGAGTTTTTGTAAGAAGATCAATTTATTGCTTCAGTAGTTAGGATGTTCTTCCGTTCTTTGTGATTTTTTTTTTGGTGCGAAACAGAAATAGTCAATTATGTTTTGTGTCAATACTCCATAGATTATGTTCACAAGAACAAGCCTTTCAAAGGTGATTTTGGATTGCTTTTATTTACAGAATAAGTTGCTAAATAGTGTCGTTAAAGATAGCCTTTCATTTAGAAGGGGCTTGTTGTCTTGCAAAGTTGTTTATGTGCATTTTACTGTCCATAAAGCCAGCTAAGCTGTTCAACAATGATATAGGCAAGCTGGAGATTTTTTACAAGCCAAGCTCCAACAAATCATATAAGCATAAACCTGAGCATATGTTAATTTTTCTTTTTTGGCCTTTTCTTCTACCCAGTTTATTGCTGTGATCATAGATGAGTGATGTTTGATTATAATAGTGCCACAATGCTAGGGTCATGTCCTCAAGTAAGAGATAACCTCTAAATATAAAGGTTGTAGAGTTGCTATTTAGTGTATATGTGTATGCTGTGGTTTATAAGCAGATAATGAAATGTTTCTTCCTCTACAGAATGAAGATAATGTCTTTTGGAAGATGTTGGTTGATTACGTGCTGAGAAGACAGATGTAAAGTTTACATGCATCTTGAAGAGTCAAGTCATGAACAAGAAAAAGCAATTAAACTGAATGGTTGGTAATATTTGAACTGCTTAGGTTGTAGATCGGTACTAGTACCATCCAAGATAATTATATGGGTCACAAGTGACCCATGTAAAATGAAAACACATAAACCTTTTGTATAAAAGTTAGAATGCTTAAACAGCAGTTACAGTCACCTGAAGTTCTGCTTCAACTCCTTCAACGCCTATGTAAACTTCCTAAGCAAGTTAAACAAGTTCATTCCTTGTTAATTACACAAGGTCATATCCTCACTACAGATATATGGATCAATACCCTCCTCTACAACACACTCATCAGAACATACCTTAATCTCTCTAGTCCGCACACCAGCTTCATCCTCTTTGTCAACATGCTTCGCCATCGAGCCCCGCCCAATAGCCACACATTCCCCTCTGTTCTTAAAGCCACTGCTACGCTCTCTCAGTCATATAGAATCGCACCCACGAGTTTCTCGTTAAATGCTCAATGTGTTAAAAGAGGCACACTAAATGACCGGTTTGTCCGAACGTCGTTTATATCCCTTTACTCACAAATTGGTGATGTAATTAGTGCACATAAGATGTTTGATGAGATTTCTCAACCGTGTATTGTTTCATGTAATGCGATGCTTGATGCTTTTGGCAAATGCGGCGAAATGGAGTCAGCAAATTCAATCTTTTTAAGCATGTCTGAAAGAGATGTTTACTCCTGGACTAGTATTATCAACAGTTATGCACGTAATGAACGCTTTGAGGCGGCCGTTAGCTTTTTCAAGAAAATGATGACTGATGACGATGTTAGTCGTGGTCTTTTCAGGCCGAACGAGGCAACTTTTGTAAGTGTTCTCTCTTCTTGTGCGAACATGGATGATGGCTTTGCTTTAAAACAGGGAAAGCAAATTCATGGATACATGATTAGGAGTGAGAAGGAATTGAGTGTTAATATTGGAACGGCACTAATAGCATTTTATGGGAAAATGGGATGCTTAGATTTTGCGTTTAAAGTGTTTGATGCTATGAGTATCAGAGAAGTTTGTGCTTGGAATGCTATGATATGTTCACTGGCTTCAAATGGCAGGGAAAGTCATGCGTTAGATATGTTTGAGATGATGAAGAGCCTGGGACTGCGTCCAAATGAAGTTACTTATGTGGGTGTCCTATCAGCTTGTGCTCGGAAAAAGCTAGTAGATTTGGGTTTGGATTTGTTTCGATCAATGGCGCCTGATTTTTCCATTACACCCAGAATGGAACATTATGGATGTGTGGTTGATCTCTTGGGTAGAGCAGGTCTTTTGAGAGAGGCGTATGAATTTGTGGCGACTATGCCTTTTAAGGCCGATGCCTCTGTCTTGGGTGCTCTTTTGGGTGCTTGTAGGGTTCATGGGGATGTTGATTTGGGAAATGAAGTTGGTAGGCAGTTGCTTGAATTGCAACCTGGTCACTGTGGACGGTATGTGCTGCTGTCAAGCATTTATGCTGGAGCGGGAATATGGGACCACGCAGCTACCTTGAGGAAAGTAATGGCACATGTCGGGATTCAGAAAGTTCCGGCTTTTAGTGTGGCTGATTAAAGGTAAACTAATTTCGCTCTGTATTTCCTGTGCTTGAAACCTTTTATTGACAAATTTTGGCATGATCAATTAATTTTTTTCTATCAGGCGATCTCTAGAATGTAGATGGTTTGGGGAGTCATTTGTTTTTTCATTATCAAGTTGAGAAGGGAAAATGTGTGGTGCATTGCTTATCATGAACCAGGGTAGAGTGTCACCTTGCGTAATATATCATTACAGTTGTACTGGTTGGTAAGATTTTTTTTTTCTAAAATTAGAAATCTGTTCTATTTATATATGAAAAACTACCTGTAGCAGAGATGTGCTATACAAACCCAACCATGATCCTTGTTTTTGTAAATTTTTACATTTGAATGTGTAAATCAACTTTGATACTTTTAATCTGGATGTTCTTGCAAGCTAAATACAGAAATCCCTTGTTTTAAAAGATATCATTTGGCACTACCAAGTATAGATTTTTAAACCATCAAAATTTATATTTGTAATCAGACGGGTCCAAGAAATCCATGACATGTTGTATAGAACTCTCATTGAAAGGAACAGATGTCAGCTTGTGAAAAATTGGTTGTTGGGAAGCTGAGGCTGAAGGGCAAAGCCTTGGACATAAAGGATGGTGGCATTAAGAAGGAAAAGAAGTACCAAGATCATTTATGTAACATCCACTGATGTCTGTCATGATCAATTGACAGGTCCGTAGCACTTCCTTATAAGAAGACTGTTTTCTTTTTCAGTTTTTCTTCCCTGCTTGTACGCCATCACATACTAACAATCCCTGATTATGCATTGCCTAAAACGAGACAATTCCCTTTGTTATGCTTCCGAGCCTGCTGTTCTTTTTTTTTTTTTTTTTTT